CTTTTCCTTTGGGAAGGGTGACGTCAGTCTCAACCTTTGGCAAGGAGTCTTTTACTTCTGGTGCTTTAAGTTTGGCGACTTTGACACTAGGCATCTTCAGTGAAGGCATTTTGATTTTGCCCTTCTCTCCAATCTCCATATCCAGACTGGGGGCCTCTATCTGCACGCCTGTCAACTTAATGTCAGCTTCAATCTCTGCAGTTGTGAGTTCCGTTTTCAGTGCAGTTTGGGGGAAGTCCGCTTCCATGGAAGATATGGAGAGTTCTCCCTGTGGAATAACTTTCTGCTTGGGAAGTGATATCCCAAACTTGGGCATTTGTAATTTTAACATTTTGAACTTATTCTCGTCATCTTCCAGTGTAATGGCTGAACCATCTGCAGGAATTTCATCTGATGTAATATTTGTTTCTTGATCTGTTGTTTTCAATTCCAAAATTCCCTGACGTGCTTTTGACTTTATGTCCAATTCTGGGATGTTTATGTCAGCAGTAATTTCTTCCATCTTAAGCTCAGGTTTGGTAGCCTTACGGTCAGCTTTGGGAAGGGATAAATCCGTTTTAGGTATTTTGATGTCCACCTCAACTTTGGGACTTTCAATTTGTGGTAATGCATACTTGCTAGCAATATTTGGTTCTTTTCCTTTTTCCTCTTTCTGATATTGGGTTTCAGTTTGTACTTTTGAATCTTTTTGCTTTTTCTTCCTCATTTTTGGAATATTTTGTGAAACTTTGATCTGAGAGTCTGTAATATCTTTTGCTTGAATAACTGCTGTTTTCATCTGTGTTGTTGCAACTGTAGGTTCTTGTTTTGTAAATTCTAAATTTGATTTTAATTTCTTTTCTTTGGATTTTGTAATAGTTAGTTCAACATCAGGGTATTTTCTTGTATGTTGTGGTAGTGGAAATACTGTTTCTGATACACCTCTTTTTGGCTCTTTTTCTTTTGGTTTTCTGTCTACATCTAATGGAGTATACTCTCTTGTCATTATCTCTGAGAGTTGCACTGTAGTATCATTCTCATATTCTTTGAATGGATTTATTTCATATGGTTCTTGTTTTTTGTGCATCTTAAATCCAATAGCTGGAAACTTTAGTTTCTTTTGGTTTTGTTTTTTAATTTTTCCATGAATTTCTTCTGGCTGGAATTGTGATTCTGTATCTGTGCTTGTAGGAGAAACATCTGGAATTCCATGTTCATATGCATCTGATGTACTTCGAGATCTTCTATGTCCCAAAATCTTCTTTCCCTTAATGGACTGGAATTTTGGCCATGAGAGTCTATCCTTTTTGGTTCTTTTTTGTCTTCCCACTCTTTGTTTTACAATTAAGTTTGTTCTATCTTCCTCCGAGATTGTCTTCTCAGATATTTCCATTGTATCCATTCCCTGGAGAGAAAAATTCTGAAATGAATATGTTTGTTTTTAAAAACTGTATATGGAGTATTATTTATATCATTTTGTTTTTTAATTACAAGGTTTATAATATGCTATAATCAACTCCCCAAATATATATCTGTGCTTCTGGCTGAATGGTCTGTATTCCCCTGGGTAATGGGAGAGCTTGAAGCTCCTAAGATTTGGCGATGCACATCCTTATCCACCGGCCTATGGTGACACCCTGTTGCCCATCGAAGATGGTTGGAATGACACAAACAGGGATTCTGTTTTTCGAAGAGGAGCTGTTCTCTTGATGTATATGCGGAGGGCCCTCCTAACGTCCAAGGGATGACATTTCTTCTCCAGGGCATGAGTTAGGCCTGGGCAGAAGTCTGGCAATATTATTTCCTGAGCCCTGTGGAACCAGGAATTCACCCTGGGAACAAAGGAGGGGTCCAACCATAGAACCATCCTGTTCAAGTGAAAGATGCAAAGGTCCTCTTCTACTGAGAGGACCGCCAATTCGGAGATTCATCTGGCCGAAGTGATGGCCACGAGGAAGGTGACCTTGAAGGTTAGGAAGTGCAGACTGGCTGTCCACAGCAGCTTGAAAGGCACAGAGGTGAAGGTCTGTAGTACTTTGGGCAGGTCCCAGGTGGGATACCTATGTACCATAGGAGGTTTTAGTTTAGTTGCACCTCTAATAAAACCACGCACAATTGGGTATTGAGCGAGGGACTCCAGAGCCCCACATGCTAGCACCGTGGACAGAGCAGCCATTTTGCTGCAAACGGTGTTAGGGGAACAGTCCCTTGTCCAGCCTGTAGGAAATCCAGCATCTGTGGAACTGATACCAAGGTGGGGTCAATGTGACCTTTGGAGCACCATCTACAAAATGCTCTCCAGGTCGAATCATAGATCCTGTTAGTTGATGGCCTCCTGGAGGCCTGAATCGTCTGTATCACCTTCATGGAGAATTTATCCTTCCTCAGGATACTCCTCTCAAATGCCAGATAGTCACCTGGAGCCACTGTGGCTGAGGGAGATTTTGTCCTGAGGAATCCTCCTGGGTCAGGATAATGAGAGGCTGACCAGATCTGCGTACCATAGGCATGGGTAGGGTGGGGAAACTTTTAAAAGTCCTAAAATTACTTCACTAACAGGTAGATTTTCACGATGTACAGCTTAATCTATAGTATAATTCAAGAACAATATATTACCTGACTTAATTTTTCCTTTTTGGACTGTGTTGCAGAATGTACTGCTTCCAGCTCATCTTTCCCAAGAAGTTTTCTTTTAAGATTGAACTGTACTTTGTATGGCTCAGAGTACTGTAATATCTTAAGTGCATCTTCATATTTGATATTATCAAAAAAGATTGTGGCACTCAAAAGCTGATCACCTGGAAAACAGAAACAAGGCTTTCAGACTATCAGATAAACCCCACAGTTCCTTGTCTAAATTTGCAAAGTGTACCACTTTTTATTCACTTTTTAAAAGTATATACAGATTATCCTCAATTTACAAGTGTAATTAACCCTGGAACTATGGTTGTAAATTATACTGGTTGTTAAGCAGGTCATCAAGTGACCATGCCCAACAGTCTTTTCTGTTGTGGTCATTAAGTGAACATGGCAGTCATAAAGTGAACACTGCCGTTGGCAAAAAGCAGTCATGGTATTGCAGGATTTTGCAAATGGCCATAAATACAGGCCAGTTGCTGAGCACTCAAGAGGCAATCACATGACCGAGGGGGGAGGGCAACCATCAGCCCTTCGAATCCAAGTCATATGTACCTTTTTGGGAGTCCATTATAACTTTGATCTGGTCGTAAATCGAGAACTACATGTACGATTTTATCCTGCCCTGCAGCTTGTTCATCGTTCAATAGGTATGCATACTTTTAAAAAAGTACTGTATGGTTATTACTTTTTTAATGTATGCTTTAAAGATAAGACCATTTTCTTAGTTAATGGTTTTAAGAGAAAATATAAATATAATACAAAAGCAATACTGTACCTTCTTTTAGACTAAATAGGTTTGATGCTGGGGACTCCTTGAGCACTTGCTTCACAAATATGCCTTCGGCTCCCCCACCAGCGACACTGAATCCACTTGCTCCAGATTCCACTTCGGTTTGTAATGTCACTTCCATAGATTCCTAGTTGTCCCAAAAGGTATGCTATTAAATCTCATCTCTAAATTAATTCATTCTTCAATTCATTTATATCATGATGTCACTCATGCTGTCATTAACAAAATAGTAGTACTTGACTGTACTACATTGCCAGAAAAAGCACATATTA